TTGTGTGTATTCAGATATCAGTCATATCAAGTTAGTAAGACATGTTTTGAAGGAAATTCACTTCATTGATGCTAACTGGTTTGATCTTGGAGAAGAGTTAAACCTACCTTATCCTCAATTGAAGAATATTGAAGATACTTATGTGAATAATCCATCACGTTGCTTGAGGGAGTGTTTAAGCTTGTGGTTGACTTCAGCTAATAATCGTACTTGGGAATCATTAGCTAGTGCACTTGAGAGAATGAATCACAATTCAGCTGCTACACACATTCGTGAAACATGTAAAGTTACCATCATATAAATCAGTTTAAAGTGTATTTATTATTTTTATAGATGATGATCCTGCTAGTCAGATATTGCAGCATTACAGTGATAGAATATCACAAGTATCTCTCACTGATAGTTGTATCCAGTTGTTATATACAGAAGGATTAATCACTGAGGATACCCAAAGGAAGATCAAGAGATGTGGTGGCTCATTAAGTGATACATTAAGAGAATTAATGATTGCAGTATCTGATGATCACAGTAAGCTGAGGTCACTAGGAAATATAATAATGGAATTAGAAGAAACTAAACCTTTAGCTCAAGATATTATTAAAGATTGTGGTAAGAGTATCACCCTATATTGGATGACTGTGTTATCATTGATATGTTTCACAATAGATGAAATTATTAATGGATCGGTGAGTACAGGTGTAGTTAGACCAGTTACCACTAGCACAGTCAGTCATTTACCTGCTGATCAATCTACAGCAACAGTTGTACCAGGAGCTCGTACAGGTAAATATTGCATTTGTAAATAATGATTTTGAGCTATTTTATAGATGCTGCAGTTACATCAACCAGAAATACTATGGGATCATTAGGTTCAGGTATAATAATTAATTAAATAACTAATATTATTCCACTTATAGTTGAAGTGTTTCACGTGTGTGAAGCAGTCCATCAGTATCCTTTTGATACAATGAGAGGAAAATTTGGAATATTTCGATTTAGAATTCTTCAAATAGTTGCAGAGAAAGTCTCACCACTACTTACTTTCCTAATATTCCTTCGACAGTGTTTTCCTGAGCTGGACTCTCAACTGTCCACTGCTGATACTGTACAAAATGCAATGACCATTGTATTAACTAAATGCAACATC